TTTTATTGTGATCCATTAACGTATTAAAGTATTGCGCTGCGTGTGTGAGTTCAGATTGCCTTTCTTTCTCTTCTGATGCAAGATATAGTTTTATTTTTGACCAAAGGTGATGCATCAAAATTTCATGAATCATCACCACTATGTGGTCGAAACAGTATCCCTAAAGTTAAGTAAATGAGACTGAACCTAATTATGGGCAATTAAGACCCTACCAATTACGGCAACCTTGCACCTAGTGCTGCACGAGGCACTTATTTGAAATAAGTATAATAAACGATTGCCTAATTCTTGATTAGTAACTCGGGTGGCAGCTTCGTGCCGATTACTGCACAGACAGCGTTTCGTTCACAATGTCGTATTCCAAGCAAACTAGGCCTATTCACTCTGCTTCAAAGACCGACTCAAGCAGGAGCACTCAAGTCAACTGCAACAGCCTATATGTCGGTTTACGTAGAAGACCACTGGGGCATCCTGCGTGCTATTGTGAGTCGTCATGGTTGAGTAACATACTACCACCACATGATCTTACAGGCCGTTTCAGCAGTCAGTGCATAACTATTTGCGCTTACGTGCATTAACCGTAACACTTGGCTACAAAATGGGCCGCTGTGTTCTGGATCCTAAAGGAATCAGTATGTTGTTCTGTAACTGGTACTCCGGTTCGGTACTATTTAACGAGACGCACTCGGCTCTTCACAGAAAACCTTCATGTGTTGTGGTCAGTGCATAGATGCACAGCTGCATGAAAAGATCGAAGGGAAACTATGTGGACACAAAGCCTCGCTTATTGATTTTGGCAATCGCTAGGCTGGCTATCATACTGAGCGGCATTACGATTTTCTGAAATACCTTTTTTTAAGAAAAGCATAGAGTCTATGATCAGAAAGTAAAGACTAAACATGAATTATCAAACTGGATCGCTGTCCGACCTGTTCTGAACGCGACGCTGCACAGCTGGAGGCCAGAACATTTCACGGTTTTCAAATTAAGGCAATAGAAATACAACTAATCCCGTAGCTCAAAGAATCAATAGGATTTACAGAGGGTGCGTGTCATACTTTGAACTCCGAAGAAACATACAAAGTGGGGAAAATTAGTAACACCACTAAATTGGTGTGCAACGCGTGGGTCAGTAAACAGACCGTGATGCATATAGACACTCGTCGTGAGTGCAAACGAATGAAATAGTTACTTCAATTTCCGTGGACCTGTCATCCGAGGCTAAACTGCTGTCACAGTTAGTAACAGCATCTGTACACAGTATAAATTCCTGTGTGGGTCCCTATAACACGCAATTTCTGCGAACGACAGTTTATTGTAAGTCAGAGGATATCTGTTCTGAGAATATTCGTCAAGTTTTGTTGGTAGGAGAATTCAGGACTATTTCATCTGCATGTACGTCAATGCGCTTCAAGAAGAAAACGAGAGGGAGTACAAAGCTTGGAAACAGGTTTCAAACAGGATGAATAATTTAATTCTGAGACTAGACAGAAGTATCGGACGGAATCAAAATGTATAATGATAATGCCAGCAAGGATAACAACGCCCAAATGCTGAACAATTATGAGTAGTAATCAGCGAGGACGCCCGCGAAAGATAGGTCCGCGAGGATCCGAGTAGCCGAGACCAGCCAACGGCGCGGAACGTTGAGATACGGAGATCTGACGGGGAAGGGGTATAAAGAAACATTAGTGCGAGATAGAAACGTAAAGGTGGATCTAACAGAGGAGGAAACACTGATTGTACCGGGGTGTAGCAATAGACTGTTTGCAAGATTTTAATTGTGTAATCAGAATTATTGAGCACGGACCGTCTGTACCTATCTCCTATACATAGCATCCATATCTCAGTAACGTGCAATTATCATCCTCATCAAAGCAAACTTCAATGATCGCCGCCAAAGTCGCAAGGCATAGTTTGTGCCCACATTACGGTTTGATAGACGGGTACTGCTAGGGTGTTCAGCCACTAAGCAGGAGAACGATTAGGGTTCTCAACCAAAGCCTTTAGTTCTGGCAAGAACCTAAATGCAAGACAGCGGGTGAAGTGAAGTGGAGGCCCATTTACTTGGATCGATTAGTTCTCCACCATTTTTACCGACCGAAACGCAAATTCTAGTCGAGCCCCCGACCTGGAGGATCAGGAGACTGAACTTCGTTCGACCTTCCAGACATGATTAGATCTCCGACTTAGTAAAATCCATCCTGTGTAGCTCTTTGGGTCACAGAGGTGCACAAGCCATCACACCTCGTCGAGGTGCAGTCTCGTCGTGATGGAGATACTTAAAATATTTGTAGTTGGCATATGTCGAATGAACCGTCTGTAACAAAGTTTGTCAATCTGTTACATTAGCCTCCTCGAATAGGATGGAATTTACACTACGCCACCTCAATACTGTAACCATATTTTACAGTTTGAGGAAACAGAACGCGATTACATTACTAATTATACAAGCAAGACCAGCTGATCGTTTCACCGGGTAGCACGATGGCGTTCTATCTGGAACTAAGATGGATTCGCACTGCTGATGAGACCCAAGCAAATCACAACAGCGGTGTAGGGATTCCTAACATTTCGCATCACGCTTCATTTATATTATAAACCTGGTAATGTACAATGATCCCACGAAATCATTCATCAAAGCAAAGCTATTGTGAAATACACCACGCGCACAATTTAGCATTCATCCTCAATAAAGTTGATCAAAACGATACACTTACACTGCTCCCGACTTGCGGGGAGCTAATTTCGATCAAAGGTAATTCAAACTCATTTGTAACATAAACAAAATATAGATTTTTACAGGATATAAGAAGTAATTATAAGGTTTCTCTCTCCAGATCGTAAAACGGTGAAACTGAAATACTATCAAACAGGTTAGAGTAATTTTCTTAGCTCATTAACTGACTTCGAGACACACAGATCAGTACAAAGAACGACACAAAGGAGGGGGTGGATAGTGAATACCGAAAAGAGAAGCCGGTATAAAGCGACAGTTTACACGTTGAGTCCTGGACGATCAGGACCTCAGCCATGGTCACAATCCTCATCTGTCCTTTAGTAGCGTTCATTCGACAATCAGGACCGATACCGCTGCCTAGTATCCCGTAGTAATTGGCAAAATTCAACTGGACGTTATCTCATTCACATCCTAGCAATAAAAGATCTTATGTGAACTTACTGCAAATCAGCATGCAGGGTTATCGTTCTCTTGCTTATTCTTATTCAACATCACAATATCTGTTTGAATTTGTCTAAAGACCTTATTTCACTGAAATGCGTACAACATCACAGTAAATCGGTTGACGGTAGTTAAACAGATAAGGCCATCATGACCGTGGCCTAAAGGTCTCGTCTGAATACTGTCACCATCGTTCCTATTTTGTATTCCCCCAGGTAGCCTTTGAATGAGAACAGCTCTCTGCGGGAAAACTGGCTGTGCAACTGCACACGTTCAATAAATAAAAAGTAAGAACACTAAGAACAATGCAACTTAATTGAAAAGTACCGGCTGAACTTGTGCGACTCACTGGTTCCACTATTCCGTGATTGCTTTTCCCCAAACCTTGGCCCGGATTCCAACCCATTTTTGAGAGTAGCTTGGCACCACGATTGTCCTCGGCCAGTGGTTCAGTAACACTTTGAGTGACTGTTGCTGGTGATTGTGAAGGGGATGGACTTCGTGGTCGTGTTTCACGAGTCGTCAGCGAATCACGTTTGTTACGTTCAACGGATACGTAACCGGCAGCTTTCATGTTTTTCTCAATTGCACGTCTCAAAGCGGCTCGGTCGCGGTAAACTGTTTCCGTGTTCAAGGGTACGCGATGCTGGGAAGATCGGAGATAAACGATTGATGATCAAGGGGAACATGATGAATAATGGGCAAAGGAACGCGCTTAACTTGGGACAAAAAGAAACGGATGAGCGAATCGCGGATGAAAAAAAGCACACAAACATATGGCATGAAGAGATACATGATCCTTGGTCGATGGAGATCTTTTTCTCCCTCATAAGTTTGATGGTTAACAGACTTCTTTAGACCCGTGCAGAACATACGCATATCGAAATATTCACTATCAAGATGCCAACCTGAGACGTTCATTCACCCCAGTTGGTAATACGTGTACCGAATTGGAAACGCATACTAACTAAATTGTATCATAAGCAGAAAAAGCGTTAGAAGCTCACTTCATTAGTTGGGAATATTCGTCATCTACGAAACCTCGAAGTGCTCACTATTTATTATCATTCGGGTTTCCAGACAGACAGATGCATTTTGATTGGTTTACTTGTTGACCGAACAACATTATTTCCACGAAACCTAGTACACGTAGGAGCGTCGAGCACGATGATGCCTCCGGTGTTCTCCATCTGGGTGGCAATCTAACAGAACCCCTCAATCAATACAGTTCATGTGTATGTGAAATCGTAACTGTTTTGATCTGAGCCAGAATAAACACAAAAGACGGTCATCCTTATCAGGGGGGATAGGTATTATTGTGTGTGAAAAAAGTGATTAGCTTGTCACCTGATGATATGGAATTTCTCCATTTGGAATGTCATACTGTTCACATTAGACTAAGGCAAGTGAAGGATCTGGA